TGCATGTTCTGGCAGCTGTCTGCAGGTTACTGTCTCACCCTGTTCCTTCAGTGTACGAAGACACTCTAATATTTTGCAAAATTTCTTTGATGTTGGTGGAAGACATGTTACTAGGGCCACTTCTTTTTCATTGCTCTGTTTATGTTTTACTCACAGAATACACAATAAATTATCTTGTACCACTTTCGTTTTTCTCTCTTGAGGCAGCATTTTAATATGATTTGTGGTCTACCCTCATCCTTATCACCAGTGTTGTAATCCGCGTCATAGTGTCTGTCTGTGTCACTGAGTTCTCTGTCTGCATCAGTTCAGTTTTTACTAGTTGTGTCAACTTCTTTATCATATAATTTCTTCAATGTCAACTTTGTGTTAACCCCATGACGACTGTTTTCATTGTCTGAAGGACCTGAGGTTGACGATGGGATATATGGATTCTGATGGATTCTATCTTTGTCTTTTCTGTGTTGCATCTTGTATTTAACAAACCCTGGTGAGTAGTGACATCTACTGGTGAAAAAGGTAAGTTGCAACTTACAGTACAGTAACTACACTTTCAGGAAACCCCAACATCAAAATGGGAAGAGAATCTAAATGCTCCAAATATCACTTTATTTACTTTAAGCATGAGTAGTAATGGTAATGTTGAACTGGCTGTGAACACCTATACATTACTTTTGACAGGATTGTACAAATGAATGATCTTGTATGTCCCCACATTTATGCCCACTGTTGGTGACCTATCAATAGTAAATATTAACTGATCGCACTCATTTCCTTAATGCCAAGAAAGTGATACTCATGAACTTGAAGTGCGTGACTTGAAAACAGGACAGTATTTAACTTGCCTGTTGACTTTAAGTTAAAGTGCTATCTGCAAGCCAGTGTCTGTGCGATACATCCTCTCTGTAGCAGATCTTATCAGTTTCCGGAGTCTGAATCTCCCAGTTTAACTTTCATTCATGTCAGTAGTTTAAGCTCATCAGCTTAGTATTTTTTAAACAGGACCTCAAGTATTTGGCTCGGGTAGCTTGTGAAAAATAACGGGTGCCTGATTTTGTAATCTACAGCTACTATTTGCTCAATTTATATATATATGTGTGTGTGTAATAATGTGTGTTTGTGTGTATATATATATCCAATATATATCCAGTACAACTTTTAGGTTAATGTATCTACCGCTGCCTTGATCGGTTGGTTTCCTTGTGTTATTGTGCTACTTGGTGTTTGATGCAAACTAACGTGTTAGAGTCACACAATAACACAAACTAACTAACTGATGTAAAATCACTGCTTCAGTTTCAGTTCATTAAAAAATTCCCCAAAGGTGTTTTGCAGTTCTGCCTTTTACAATGCCACAGTGCCACTACTGACATTTGGCTGAAATCCGATAATTGGACAGGGGTGAGATTACAATAGTTTACTTGTGAAAAGTGACACACTTAATTTGATAAAACAACTGTTCTCATTGTATCTTCCAAAATCTCATGACAGGTCATGTAATCGTTTATGCAAACAAATGTTTTCAGACCCTGCCGGAGCTTGCAATCCCAAAGTTTTACAGGGAAAATGAGAATAAACCAGAGGCGTTCAGTCTCAGGGAGACAGAAAGTGAAACCTTTTCTTTCATGTATATGATCTGGACCTGTTGTCTGTGTGTGGGCAGATGTACTGTGTGTGTGTGTGTGTGTGTTTGCGTGTAGGTGTATGTGGTTTTAAAGGTATCAGATCAGAGTTAAACTTTATTGTCCTTCACAAATGCTTCCTCTGTGATCTGCTACTAACACATTTTTCAGTTTACAAGCAATACATTTCTATCATTATCTTCTTCCAAAATTCCTGCTTTAACTTTATCACACAAGAGCCCCAAAATATAAATGTGAGTCCTGATTAAATGCATTTTTTAAAACCCTTTTTAAAGGACCATAGTGTAACATTTAGGCTCTATTGGCAGAAATGGAATATAATATTCATAACTATGTTTTCATTAGTGTATAATCACTGAATATAAGAATCATGTTTTGGTTACATTAGAATGAGCTGTCTTTATCTACAGACACCACAGATTGCCTCTGTTTAGACCACTAGACCAGAAGGAACACACCAAACACTGGCTGTAGGCTTGTGGTTGGTGATCAGCAAATCTACTAAACTAAGATTGTGAACATGGCAAACATTATACTTGTTAAACATCATCATGTTAGCATTGTCATTGTAAACATTTTAGCCTGCTGACGTTAGCATTCAGCTCAAAGCACAGCTGAGCCTTTAAGGACAGCCTCACAGAGCTAGCATGGCAGCCGACTCTTGCTCAAATCCCGCCAAAAACTTAAGGTGTGCCAGTCATATCGTATAATACGTCATATTGCTATATTTACAGATCAAAGGTCTGCGAGATGGCGGCACCCTTTGCCCCAAAATATATAACAGATCTTATTTTTTCTTTTATATGTTTACAGTTGTTATTGTGGAAGTCCATTTAGTAAATCAGCTTAACTCGGTTGACTTCTTCATATCCACTTTAAGGTTGGTCAGCTGACTCAGCTTACTAAAGTTGATTACAGCACGTCTCTTTGCATTAAAGAGTCCGATCAGGGAGGGATTTTACAGCAGAGCACAGCCACAGCTTCTGTCTGCTCCTCTAAAACACCATGTGGAGCAGGTATCACACAGATAAAATACGGATTACTTTAGGGCCATCTCTACTATAGAATTTTGTTCACACAAAAAAAACATCAGTTTTACAGTTTTTTCATGTGACTTTGATTTCCTGTTGTGAATATCATAGCTGATCCACATTGAGGGAATGTGATTAGTATCCTGATAAATCAGTTTTGTCTATTTAACTGTTTTATTCTTGATCTTGTAAAAGCAATTTGTTTAAGGCGAAGGTGTCATTCTAAATGGTAAATATCCACAGCGTGTAAGCCACCCCCCCGTTATTATATTTGTGCTTCGTGTTGTCAGACTGCGGTTTCAAACAGTTATGAGCTTCTAGTGAGTGAAGACTGAGAGAGGAAAAGGCTTCTTCCTGTTTCACAAAGTCTGACACTCATAATAATGAGGGCAGTGAATGAACGGAAGAACAACCATATTCATTGTACTTCACACTTACTGTGCAGCATCACTGCCAGCTAAGAGACTCTTTCTCCTCTTATCTTTTTTTCTCCTACTTCTCCTATTATCCAATCAGGAAGGAAATGCAGGTCTGACAACACAAAGAGAATGTACATTTGCACTGAATTTGACTTCATATAATTCCAGATTACTGGCACATAACTGCACTGTAGAGTAAAGAGGTCATATCTGTCAGTAACAGTTGCAGTCCGTTTTAAGGAGTGTATTTGTTACATAAGTTTTATATCCACATAGTACATTTAAAAGTAAAAGTCCTTGTGCAGTATATCATTTTGGGGATCTGCTGTCCAGATGTTTCTAATGTAAAGAAATGGTCCCGCCCTTCCCTCAGTGTAATTATAAAGAAGCGCACGCACACACACACACACAAACACTGCTTAGAGTATTTAGGGCCTGATAATAACAGTGCAGCACAAGAATCTGCTCCCTCTATTATTACTGCTGCTGCCCAGTAATAGAGAGCGGTGGAAATTTGTACATTTTCGTGGCACTTGTATATACTTGATTTTTTCCATTTTATATTACTTTATGTTTATAATTCACTAGGCTACATGTATGGAGGGAATATTTGCATCTATAGTTACTAGGCTAGTAATTTGATTTAGGGTTTGTATCCTGTACAAACTGCAGACCTCTCTGTCTCAAAACAACCATCCTTCTTTTAAAAAAGAAAAGAATTCATAGGCAACTAGAAAGGCACTCGAAGAGCACAGACCTCTGATAGTCCAGTCTTCAATGATATGAAAATCTGCACACCGTTCACTTCAAGTTGATGAATTGGTGCAGGTTGGAAAATCCATAATTCCAGATTATCCGGAAATGTCACATACCTGTTTGCTTATTCCTTACCCCCTGCATTGGTTTCTAGAGATGTTTGAGGTGGCTGTTGTGTTTTGTTGTATGTTCAGTTGCGGCACTTTCAGTACGGCAGGTTCACGCTTGTGTGAGAAATTTCATTTTGCCATAGGAAAATGAAAAATAATTTGTGTATCCGTCCTATGATTTGGATCCACTCCAAAATGTAGTTCTTTCTAAACCTATTCTTTACCCCTCCACCAGATTCCATTGAAAAGCAGTTACATTCACAGCGTTTCAGTAACATTCAACCAAAAGACAACAGTAAATCATTTGACAATTTTAGAGCTCAGGGAAGAGGCAGAAAAAAGAGGGGAGGTTAGAAAAACAACACGAGGAAGCTGGTGTGGGGTTACAGTGGAATGAGAGAAGAGGAGCGTGGGCAGGAGAGGAGGATTTCATTGGAAAAGGTTTGAGAAAGAGGGAGAATAGAAGCAGTTACGATGGGAGGGCAGTGATGACAGGACAGTGATTAAAGCTTCCCCTAATAAATACTCTGCGGCCCATTGAGGAGATAAAGACATTGTGCTGAATCTCGGCATCCATGTGTTGTTTTACACACACAAAATATCATTTTATTTGTTTCAAATGTTTTTGAAACGGCTATCATGCTTGGTATTTAGATAGCTACAGTAGTTATTCTGGATAACACAGAGCTGAAGGGTTTTTGCGTTCCAATATCATTTTTCATGACTCCAAAAGATTTAATGCAGTTGTATTGTAAAACGTGTGTGTTATATAATCTACTGTCACAAGCATGGAGGGAGCTCTAAGTAGATTATCTAATGTCTCAACAATTGCTCATCCGATTGACTTGCTCTATTGCTGAAGCTAATTTGAGTTTCAGTGTTTGGTAACCCAGTATACGCAGTGGTTAATTTAATGCTATTAAGCTAATGTTAGCTAGCTACCTTCACTGAATAATGTCAGCATATTCTTTGTAACACCGTGGGAACCAGCTATAACTTGGGGTACCAAATGACAATCACAGGGACTCACAATATTCTGTTATCACTTTAATTGCTCCAACAATTTAAGAAAATCATATCCCACAATAAAATTGTGTCAAAAGTACCACAACTGTCACATTATTCTTCACCTGTATACAAATAAACAATACTATATCAAATACTGAAAGAGTTACAATCAGAAATGCAGCCCTGTTGAGCTGTAGTACAGTAGTACAGTAAGTACAGCTAAATCTCACTAAAACATTCAAAAAGTTAGAAACACTATTAACATTCAATAATAATAAAAACAGTGTCAGTGTAAATGAGAGTTTCTCAGATGTTTTTTGAAGAACTCCGGCTTCATTCTGATATGATTGCTGTAAAGAAATGTGCTTCTTGGGGAGGTCAAAGGTCAGGCTCAGCAGCAGATCCGCAGATGGAGCAGGAAGAGTTTCAGTGTTTTGCCCAAGACTTCAGGATGAATATGCAGAGATTGAATCATAGATTCTCCTTTTGAAGGCCAGTCCCTCTCTGCCTCTGCACCAGCAGAGATTGCAATATGAAAACAGTTCATATTCATTTGAAAGAGTTGCATGTGACGGAATGGAAAAAACCTTTACACACCTCATTTGAAAAGGAATGAATGAAACCCTGACATTTTCTTAAATCTTTTGTAAAGATATGGGAAAACAAGCCCTAGTCCTTCTTTTTCCGCTTTCAAAAATGGCCCAAATTGATTATTGGTTCAAAGGAAATTGTAAAAAAGAGGTGCTAGGATGCCATTGTTTTATTTACATCTTTTCCTTCCTGTTTTTCTGTCTCCATAAATTGTATTTCTATTCTCTTGTTCTTATTTTCACTCTGCCAGGCCTCCACTCACTGTAAAACCACTCAGACCGTTATGTGTCATTATAATCCTCAACAAGTTTCCACTTCCTCCCTAAAAGTAGGTCATTTCTTGATGAGTGTCTAAGCTTTGAACAACGGCTAAATTAACATTACCTAAAAATCTGAACATTTATATATTTTTGTGACAGAAATCTCATTTCACAGTTTAAGAGTGGTTTGAAAAGCTACCTGAAAACTTTATTTCCTGAGGCTACTTGAACTAAGATCAATAGAAACATTTGTTTTGCATTTTGTGATCAAGCGCAATCAAGCTGTCAGGCCGCTTATCACAGTTATAAAATGTGATCATCCTGAAGTCATTATGCACACGCTATAAACACACTATGATCAGAATTACTGTTTCTGCAGACTGAGGCCTTTGGGTTTAGGGGACAGCTTCTGGAGTGGGAGCTCATAAGTTAAGATTTAAGGGTCATACATGGGGTTGTTGAAGTTTCCTAAAGTGTCGTGTTCGTTGCTGTCCAGGAGAGGTCCATAAGATGTTCTTCTGGAAGGAGAGGAAATAGAAAATAGAGTGAGAGATGAGGGTGTAGGGTGTAGAAGAAGCTTGAAAAAATCTCCTCAGTTAAATCAAACAGTTTTTATTCAGTACTGTAGTAAGAATAGTCCTTATGACACCTGTTCATAGTGTGTTTAGTAAAACCTCCTGAGTAAACAGCACATGGTTTATGAAAAAAATGGGTTTGCTCTGGATTTTTAAATGTCATTTTTAAGTGCCATGAGCTTCACCAATGAAATTTCATCCATCTTTATTGTACTGGGGTAGAGGCAGAAAACTAAAGTATATTATATAGTTCAATATAAATTTAATCCATATAATATTACATTTCCCACAGAATGCCATCACCTAAGCTTTAATTGACATTGACAGTAGTATGATAATGTACTTTGTAGGAGATTTGTTTAAGATCTGGACTCACCGGAACTTGTAGTAGTACAGCCCACCTAACACTAGGATGACAGTTAGGATGAACACACAAATGATGACTGCAACACTTCCTGCAGAGAGAGAGAGAGAGAGAGAGAGAGAGAGTGGAGTCAGATCTCAAAATATCCACTGTAAGTTCTTGTCCTACGATAGAGCAGTTATCTGTTCAAGGTGTTTCCAGGCACTTTCTTCCTACATTTCTTTATTTCTTCCTAATATACTTACACAGTACTTCATAACTTACACCATCATTCACAATCTTAAACCTGGTTGTAATGCACTACATTATTCATTACTGTACTTTGGTAACAGCCCCACCCAGTTACAGGTGCCTTTAAAGTCCATGACATTTAGTCATCCATTTTGCAGCCTGATATAATGTCAACATGTTAGTTAAATGTATTGTATTAGTAGGCTGCTCTATAGTTGCCGTTATACCATAAGAAAAACTGAGACTAAATAAAGAAACTTGCCCTGTAGCCTACATGTTGTGGGCATGTCAGGTTAAGTGTGAACTGATCGACTGACCAATACACAGACCGACACTGCGATCCATAGAGTCCTGCCGCTATCAAAGCGAAGCAAAATGTTAGGCAAACTGCTTTCAGACACTCCATGCAGTCACCATCCATCCATCCATCCATTATGGTAAATGGTAAATCGACTGTAGTTGTATAGTGCCTTTCTAGTCTGCCGACCACTCAAAGAGCTTTTACACTACATTATCTGTAACAGCTTATCCCTTTGCAGGGTTGTGGGGGGCTCAAAAAGTAATTCTTTGTTGAAAATTTACAGGGTCTGACTTTAAAATGTTTGTTCTGTCCAGGGATTGTCATCATCTAAACACACCCCATAGTTCCCTGATGGGTCCAAGCCATACAGTACGTGGCTGGCCTCAACTGATTCTACTTTACTGTTACTGACTTTCATCTTCTGCTGGTAAATCTCTAACCCTGTGTCATGTAAGACTTGATAGCCAAACTGACCCTTGAGCTTATGTATTAATTAGTTATTTCCTTGTGGGAAACTGGGCCAACTGTCTCAGAGTGTGTAATGTTGTATTTAGGGATTTACTCTGACAACAAAGGGACCTTATCTTAAACAACGAATGACCTGCGAATTTATCTATTTACTGTAGATTATCAATCTTGAACTCGTCATGGGACAGAAGTGTCTGATCTTTGAACTTAGTGTAACCCTACATCAACCTGCGTTAGGTAGGTGGAGTGTAAGAGAGAGGTATGTGCTACACATCCTGCATGTGGAAACTAATACACACCAAATACTGGGAGCAGTGGGCAGCCACCATGCGATGCCTAGGGTCCAACTCCAGATCTGAGCAAGTGCCTTGGTCAAGGGCTTTGACTGGAGAATTGACCTAACATACATGTTTTGATGGTGAGGGAAAGCGGACAACCTGGAGGAAACCCAGTCGAACCCAGGACCTTGCTGTGAGATGACAGTTCTAACCTCTGAGCCACCGTGACGCCCACTGTGGATGGTTGGTTGGAAGTATTTTTTAAAAGTGCCTGCCCTTTTCCAGTTTCCAACGACAACTTCCCAGATGATTATGTGTACAAGTCAATGTTCTAGGGGTTGGTACTGCCCCACCATGGACTAGAAACCATTGCTGTTTAAACCGTTGTCTCGTCTAATTTGCCTAATTCTTGTGGTTATTCAGATGTGATGGGGAAACTTACATAAACTTTTAGTTTTGGACTTTAACTGCAGAGAAATCATTCCCAATTTAGTTCCTCCAAAGGGCCACTGGGTGACACCTTGTAATTGACACTTTTAATATGACACCTAGCCTCGAAGCTGTAATTTCCAAAACTACCACCCTGAGAGATGCCATAAAACTTCTGAGTCAGAGGTATTATCAGAATTTATGGTTTACTGATGATGGAAAGGAAGTTCTTTTCATAGTTCCTTCACACAAGGGAGTTTCAAGACAACAAACCTGGAGTGGTTGAGGCTTTAGTGCCATACTAAAGAGCACTTAAACCAGCATTGTGTCTTTGCAAAGGTGAGGGTAATATGATAACACTGGGATCATAAGTCCACAGAAGATAACATCCAACTTAAAAAAAAGTTTCCCATTTGTAGAGAATAGAGTATTGAATTTTTCATGCCAGTGTTGCCTGTACAACTCCTAGCATTTACTAACAGGCCTGTAATGAGTGGCTTGTGCTGCCACAATAAATGGCTGGTGAATGATAAAATGCCCAGCAAATGAACCTACAGCCGTTTCTCTTCGAACAGCTGCCATTTTCACTCACTGAGCTGGTAAAGACGCAACTGCAAAGTAAACAAGGAAGCATGGGAGGAAACTGTTAACATATTAACCACAGATTGACACTGCTTAAGGAGGTCACAGAGAAGGAGGAACAAAATATCTGATGCATTGACTATGCATGTGTACATTTGACACTCACATTCTGGGTTTTACGGGACGGACGATTTACATCAGATTTACATCAGATTTACATCAGATTTACATCAGAAACAAATGGCTTTGTGCGGTAACTTGTAGTTTACTGGCAATATATTTTGACTATGCTTTCATAAAAAAGTTAATAAGTAACTGGCACATCAGAGGCAATGAGTGGCAGACAGCTGGAGTTGGTTTGTAAATATGAGTCCAGTGATAAACAGTAGAAACATTCAGACAGAAATTAGCACTACATCAACACAGCTCCATCATTCATTTCAGTGGGATGATTACAGTGACACAGTGGGGGTCCACAGAGTCTCTGGCAAAACAACGTGGTGTTTTCCAGCAAAAAAAAACGTACCCTGGGTCAAAGTTTGCATTGCAATGCCATCTGGCTAAACACTGCATTGGCCAATCAAATATGTGCAAGTGCACATTCCTGGTTGATTACTATCTAATGTAATCACCTTGTTTACCTCCCAGTCATCAAGGCAAGATAAAATATGACTGCCACAGTGAATTTTTTTGGGGGGTGTACAATACTTCCTAATAGTATCCGAACTGCTGTGCAGTGTTTTGGTGTCTAATAATAAGCCTTCAAACTCATGGATCAATTACCCCAACTGCCACTAGTTAGTTTACATTCTTTGTTGTAACTGAAATATCTCTGCAACTATTTTTTCATAAATTTGGTATAGACATTTATGGTCCCTAAAAGTAAAATTACAATCACTTTGAAACCTGACTTTTCATCTAGCGCTGTCATCTGGTCTTACTTCTCCAATACTTTGGTTTATGAACAGATATCTATAAAAGTCTTAACAGCCTCAGCTTTGCTTGTAGTGCTATTTAGCAATTCTTACAATGTTAACACGCTAAACTAAGATGGTGAAAACAGTAAATATTATACCTGTTAAACATCATCATGTTACCATTGTAATTGTGAGCATGTTGTTGTGAGCATTGAGCCTAAACTACTACTGTAGCCTTAGAGAACCACTAGCATGCCTATGTCTTGTTCCTACAGTACACACAGATTTGCTTTAGTATAAATATTACATTTGTAAATAAGGGTTATTATCCCTCATTGTGTTGTTTCTGAGTGTAAAATAAAGATTGAAAGAGTATATGAAATTAGTTTGCATAAACCTGTTGCATAATATATTTTACATTGTGTTAACACGTTTACTTGAGCAAATCTAAAAAACCAAAGAAAATCAAAACAAATTCTTGTTGCTGCGTACCTGAGCTCAGAGCCTTGGACTCGTGTCCGTCCTGTCCCTCTGTGGCGGTGTTGGCGCTGGAAGTGGAGCTACTGGTGATACTGAGGGTGGTGCTGATGGTTTTTGTAGTGCCGAGGGTGGTGTTGGTGCTGGACTGGCTTTGTGTGGAGCTGG